ACAGTTGGGAATCGCGGTTATGGGCCGATCTGATGTGGCTTGCAAATCAGGCCATGGGTGCTTTGGCTTGTTGTGGACCGATCTATGACCCACATGCGTTGTTTGCAGACCATATGATGATGGGCGCGGATCCGTCTACCTCCAGTTTGAGTGGTTCAGAGTTCCAATCCACGATTGGATCCCAACCCAGCCCGGGGTACATTTTGCGTTGGGTTTCCGGGTTGCTAATCGCTCGTGACGTGGTGCTCAGTTCAAGCCCTTGGCTTTGGCACTGCCCGATTGTTGATACCGGTTTATGTCNNNNACGCCGGTTAGACTCGGTAAGCGATTTACTATTCAACTGGGTTTTTTCTTGTGTTATTTTTTAATTTGGTCTGGATCGTCTACTAACCGAAAAGTAGTTATCTAATCCCACTTTTCATTTTTACTTTTATCGTGGTATTGTTTTTTTTTGTTTTCTGTGGTCGGTTTGGAGGATTTGATGTCTGCCTATCCGAATTCAGAGCGATCAGTGCCGTAGTGTTATTCAGATTCTACCCTGTGTCATCTACAAGTATTGACCAAACTCGTGCAACATCCTGATTTTTCATCATATTTGTTCCTTTCAACGCTTCGTTTTTCCAGGCTCATTCAAGGGATGGAATATAATATTGCCCCACATCAGACGCAACATATCTGACATAATACCCACTTATGTCTTTGCTTCTATTGGCCTTATGCCATTAAAATGTATGATTTCTCGATTTTGACGATGGTTGCTGGTGCATCAGTTGTAAAATAACAAAGTCACCATGGAAATCGTAACTATAATTTATTAATTAAAATGACTCATAGATTTCATACATGTATTGTGCTTTCATCATATCTATGTTCCATTTGCCCTCCTTCATTTGTGAGTAGTGGGATTGTCACGTTTATTTGGAGTCCAATAAGTTGACTGACAAACAGAATTTGCCAGTTACCTCTAAAACACTCCACACCTTAACCATTGACGATCAATGTCGAGGCTGTTGACTAATTCCTGTTTTTGTTACAGGAAAAAGTTTTCGATTAAATGAAAATCCCAGCTGCTGCGCGGTATTTGAATGAATTTGACATTGAACTTGACCCCTACAGAGACTGCATAAATGTAAAAAAATAATATTTAATTAGGTCTAGCCGTTTTTTACCGTCAACCCTAAGCGAGAAGATATTCCAAAGTTCATCTGTGAAAAATATGACTTCCGCGAATTCATTTAAAGACTAGTAGTTGCTGAAAACCTCCCTTGCGATATCCAGATTGGTGTGTTCAGGAGACCTTTAACAAAGCACTCAGTATTTACTTCCGTCTTAAATCGGCAGGCGGGATGAATATTTACTTCTTTTGACAGATCAAACGAAAATCGTTAAAAAATTAGCTCATTAGATCAGCTTTCACCACAGGCTGAATTATTTGTTGGGCACCAGTGAAATAAACCCATTGCCAAATGGACGGGCGACGCAATCTGAATTTATCGGTAANGGTAAAATAAATACATGCTTTGTTTTGTTGGGCGTTCCATGACGGCTTTATATCACGTGGTCTCAGCTGCACTTTAAATTGAGCCATCATTTTCCAAACAAAGGCGTGTAAGTAATAAACGGCTAATCAGCCCGGACTATCCTCCAAATTTGTTTTGTGCAACTCCTATCTGCTGCGATCAAATACAGTCATCGTCTTGCTGTGAAATGATCGGTTTTCTCCCTCTCGGTTTATGTCTTGATGGAGAAATTTCGTGGAATATGTTATGAATCGGACTTATGTTCACATCAAAGCACTTTCACAGGACCAACTGAGTCATCGGATTAATGTGTCTCTCGATTAGGTTGCCTCTGAGCTTCAAGTATATGTCAAAACCTTTTGAATGCTTCGTCCGGTTTGGGAATGGTGACATTACAGGACGCTTATTCAACGAGCCGCACACCTCAAGGTCAACTTTCGAAGATCAACTTCTATGTTTCTTGGACAATGTTTTTAGTTCTTATTGTAGATAATACATGAGTAGTTTGTAGCCAAATAATTTATCAATTTATTTAAGTGAAAATATTTTCATTAATTTGCTTATTTACTGTGCAGTGCATTAAAAGAGACAAGTAATTTAGAATACATGGGCTCAACTTAATAAACACTGTCATGGAACAGGAATCATTTATTAAAAAGAGTGAATTCCCGTGCTGCTTCGCTTAAAATACTTTCCAAATCAGAGCTGTAACTTACGAACTACTACAAATTTTGATCGCAACGCTTAAGGTCACGTTAATTCAGACGGTGATAGGAGAGAACTAAGAAAATGGAGGTGGGAGATAAAATTAGGAATAAACATACTATACTCATAGCCATCAATATGCAAGTGGGATATTGGAGACAAAGATGTATTTCCAAAATGAGAGTGATGTTGCACGAGTTTGATTAACATCTGTATAAGGGTCCACAGGTAGCTAAATATTGGCATAAATGAATTCATTTCAGTAGGGATTCGTTTTCACTCGCAAACCTTCAACTGTTTGACCATTCTTTCTGTTGACGAAATTATTTCAGTCTCGTGAATGCTCTTCTCAGCGTATATGGGAGACGTTTCTGCTAAAACAAAACCACCAGATGAGAGCACTCAATCAAACAATTTGAAGCCCGGCTAAAACGGTGTTCGCACAATCGGGACACCGTTAACATATATATAAACCGACTAATGTTGGCAGTTATGGGTACCAGACTACCAATCCCAGTAAGAGACCTTATCTAGCTTGTGTTTTCTACCAGTTAATTCTGGCCAAGAGGTATAGGATATTTAGTACTGAAATAATTCAATCTCTCGATATGTATGTGTGCTGAGACCACCAGTTAATTTTACTAATGTTTGTTTGGTATTTGACTAATATCGTGACCGGCGAATTGCTCACTCGTGGGCTTTGTTTCCGACACTATGCAATTCTATTTATGGTTTTTCAGGACATTGAGGGTAGCATAGGTGTTGTATGTTGATAACTCGAAAGGCCCCGCAATCGAGCGGTATCGATGTAATCTACGATGTACATTGTTTTGTCCACTTTCGTGGTTGATATAATCATTGATAGTTCCTCTGTTTTTCTGGTATTCCTTTACTGAAAATCATCCTTCTTTTTTGTCCGTGTGTTCACTTTATTTCTTTTTTCTGTCTGCGTGATTGTTAGCTCTTGCGACAGTTGGGTGAGGAGACCCTGACATTATTGTTGGATTTGAATCAAGCATCTTACACTCTGCTGAATTGGACCATTGACCAGTGCTATACAAGTAATAATGTGGCTCTTGCGAATGCCTGTTTCTTTGCAATCAGTCGAGTTATCTGTAACATGTAAGTTCTTTACTATTCATTGATCTCCCAGTAGCTTTTCATGAGTCTCGATTTTTCATGCAACGAAGAGAACTATTTTTTTTCTGGTGTGCATCATCCTTTTGCATATCGGTGGGTGTTGGATCGTCAGAACTGAATTCATCATTGGGCTCGATCGAAGTACTCTAATCATTATGAATAATTGGGCACCATAAAGAACGTTTTATCTAGGTCGATAGTAGGAAGAAGCGAAATATAATTCTACGTTGACGAATTTTCTACCCTTTTTAAGGCTTTTAAAAGTCAAATAACAACCGAATATTGATTAAGCTATGACAATAAAAATGGTTGCGGTCTGTGATTTGTCTTCGGATAAGAAAACACTGTTCATATGTTTTTACTAATAATTGGGGCCATGACAAGTGATGCATAATCTATTGGGTGAGAAAGAAATTAATGGAATCAGGTAACCTCATAGATTATGTACAATTCAAGTGGATGGCATCGGTTTCATCTCTAGCTTTGGTTTTAAGACAAGTGGAGACTGTTTATTCCATCCAACAGAGGAACCGATATCTGCCAATTGTTATTCCGCCATCATCATTATCATCTATTTTTTTCTAGGCTGTTATCTTTCTGTTTGGAATTCTAAATACAGTCCCACGAATGCATTCAATAACTGTCCAAGTCATAGTGCTCACAGGATAGATATATCAAAGACAAGCGTATAGAGGTTATTTTCTTCTGGATTAGAGTGAGTGGATATGTGCACCTCAAGAGGATGCTTAATGAACCGAACAGTGCACTGATGAACCACGAATGCACCCGTGATCAGACTGTTGAATAGTGACACTGGGAGCGTTAGTATCATATTCTTCCCTGCTCTCTTATTTTAGTTTTAAACTCATCTTACTGTTATGAATTAAGTATTTTTCCAATATTTGGAAGTTAACTGTGATGACTGCGTATGCACGCAACATTTTGCTAGAAAAATAGGCTTTAAATGATGTTTTTCCATTAGACTCATAAGTATTCAATTATCATTATTAATTAATTAATTAGTAATTATAATATTAAATCGTGCTACTCCAATCAGCTAATCGAAATTCAATGAAAGCTGATAAAACCTAAAATAAATTCAACGTTACCCCCAAACTACTATTCGCATATGAGACTAACCCGATTTTTAATCTGTTCCCATCTGTGACGTATTGTGCTCTCACTGTCCTCGGTCAGACTGCAGTCAAAAGCGGAAACAAATTAGGGTGTCCCTCCCCCCCCCCNCCCCCCCCGGAGTCCGAGGAATACTTAATAACACGCTTTCGCTACTCCGATTCGGAATCTGTTTGAATTAAGTTGCTGGGAAAATGTCTCGCATTGTGTCGACGCCTAACGCGTAAGTTGAATCGTCAAGATCCAGTCATTGATCAAATCTGGTCGGTAATCAGTTGTTTACCCTGAGGGCAGTTGGAATAAGGAGAGAATCCTGTAACTAGTTTCAGACGGACAAGGTAATATCAGAACGTTATGCTCACTTTTTCACCGAATCTAGTAATTGGATTGCAGACAGTTCATCACCAGCCGAAGTATATGGCAACCGCATTGTGAAATTCGTTGACACTCTTGTTTCCAAATTCATTCGTTCCAGCCCAGATTTCCCCTGTGATTTCATCCCACTGCTCACTCTGGCCATGGTACATTTGGATCATCCCCAAAAGTCCTTGTCCGACCGTGCTGTGCATCTGTTGCGTGTTCTCTATTATCGATTTGTGATCAAGGTGAGTTGCAGTTGGCTGAACACGGTTCCTGTGTGTGTCTGTGTTTCCTGCGTTTCACCTCCAGACTGGTACACTGTGATCGAATTTGTGCATTTATTATTTGGCGCAATATATCATGAATTGACTGAATTCAACTTGTTTTATAACGTAGATAGAAATAGGTTTCATACTATCAGGAAAAACAATAAACAATAAAATGACCTGGATTGGTGGTGTAAAGATAGCAGAAAAAGATGACCTAACGTAAAAGGAACTGATTTTTGAAGCCGCGTTTTGTCCTGAGATTAAGAAGAGTCGTATGGTGCACTTTGATAGTGACCAGACTAATACAGTATGGATAAAGATCTCGTTGTTTTCACCGGATCGATCAGTTGGCTGCAGACAGGTACATTACTGCTAAAACATGTTAAGTGTTATTTGTATTGTCGGAAATATCCTCTCTTCTCGATCCATTTGAATAAATCAAGTAACACACAAAGAGCCCCCGTCGTTATGTGAATGCCCATTGGTGATACTCTTCTGGTAACATTGTAACATATATAATGGACGTAGACAGCTGATTGAGAGCACGCGAAATTGATAGCCAGTATCAATCCTGTTCGTATCATCCTATTTGTTTTATTCAAAGTGGTTTATTCATAATCTCGACCGAATAGGTGGTCACATGGGTACGATTCACCACCCGGTTCGTAATTTTGGTCAGCCACCTACATGTAACCGTAAAGATTTGTAGAGCCATCAAGTGCACAGTGTCGTCTAGATTAGGTGAACCTAAGGCATATTGACCATTTGAACGGAATCGGATTGTACCGTTGTTGTGAGGTACTGCGCGAAAGGATGCGGTTGGCGATATCTTTCAACGGTCAAAAATGATTAAGACCTTTCAGGGTGTTCAAAATGATAACTACGGACTGTTTCGTTCATTATCCTGTGTGCTGTCGGGAATTGTGAGGACATGTTCAAAATGAGACACGTTATATGTACGCCAAATTATCCATTCCTTAACTGTGGTTCGCTGTCACAGGCGTGCTTTGGACCCTATAGTCCAAGGTTCGAGCCCTGCCACTAAACAACAGGTCCTCGTGACTATGAGGTTCTCCCCATGTGCTGTTCATCACGAAAGTGTGTAATAAAAAATGCTTGATGACCACTCTGGGCCTAGTTGGATTACTTAATTTTTTCTAATTACATTTCTTCTCTCTCTCTCCCCTCCTCGATTAACATTATTCTCCCGTGGCCAGCCTGGGATGCTCATTCATGAACATGTCCATCTGAACGAGGCCACTGCACATCCGTGTCTCTGGGAGCGCGATTCCTCTGTCAGTCCTCAGTCGGGACATGAGACCATCTCATCTTTGTGTGCGGAAACGAAGGTCAACCTGCAATTGTGGCAGTCAATTTTGCGTTGGAGTCCGGCCGAAGTGGTTCGCCAGTTCGCTGCACAGCATCCCGACTTCACTTTGCCCATCTTCTCCGGTATGCGAAGATTGCGGTCATTGGCTAGCGTTTTTTTTAATAAAAGCTACTTGTGTGTGGCCGAGAGATTCTGTTACTGTAATATAGTCCAGCACTGACCAGTATGTTTTAGCCTACAAAATTTCTCCGTCGTTCATAAGCGAAGATAAGAGGTTATTGGGAACAATCTTGTTTCCCCATCTCAGTTGGACCAATTTAGCATCATGACTTGTCACACATACCAATATTTTTTGCTCCTCACCCATCCGCTCCTTTTCCTTCCTGTCCACCTTTGACTAATTAGTTTTCGGTTCATGATTCCTGTGAACCATTTACTCGATAGGTTTATCCGCTATCTTCGCCCAACAACAGCTTTTACAGTATAGGCGACGAGGTGCTTAATCTGCGGCTGCGAACGTGATCTTGTATAGCTTGAAGGATCATCGTAGCGCCCAAGTCCTCAAATTACGTCAAAGAGAATTCTCATTGTGAGGAGGTGATATCCAAATGCTTCCTTCCTATCTAATCAACACCACTTCCCTCTACCGCCTTAAAAGGTAGATCTCTGGTTAGATGAGATACATTTCTGTAAAGCCTATAGTTGCTTTTGAGTGAGTTAATTGTTTCCACTTAATCTAGCAGCACTTAGACCGAACTATGTCCCCCATCAAGTAAAGCAACTGCTCAATAATACCCAGGAATGGAGTGTAGAACAATGATTTACCGAAGTATAACGGGTGCAATTTTCGTTCATTCAGCATGCAGGTCTTTTCCCGGTACCTTGGGTGACAAGTATAATTATCAATTGCAAGGTTGCTTACATATACACTTTATAATTTTCTTTCTTTTTTGATATTTTCCTCCCTTCCGTTGAATTGGACAGAAATCACTCGACAGATGGGTACAGCCCGTAGTGGGTTGCGTGTCCCACTTCTTCGTTTGTTATTACCCTGGATGATCAACGTCGAACTGATCGACCTAATTGGGGATAGTGAGGCAGACAATCATGGTGACGGACCTATCAAAAATCGTGGACTATCTGGTCATATGGCTGGGGACTGTTCTGATGACGAGCCGAACGAGTTGCGTCCGCGTAAATGTAGGCGACAACGCCAAGCAGCTCCTCGGTCGGGCAGACTAGGTGGGCATGCCTCTGTCCACGACCGAGTTGATGGAGAAGACGAAGCTGATGATGACAATGACAATGATATTGTAAACTATGAGAATGATAGAGAGGAGGATGAAGATGTTGACGACCGCCTTGTGGCTGGTGCTAATGTCGGTGTCATTGATATGGGGAGTGAAACAGAAGATAGTGAAGAGGATGAAATGGCGAATGATGATGATAGCGCGTTTGTTCCTAGTCATTTCACTCAGAAAACTGTCGATTATCACGTGCTTGACCAACACTATACAGAACGCATTCAAACATCACAGCCACATACGTGTTCACGGGGAGATGAACACGCACCAGTTTACTCGGATGTATTGGACAGTGATGCTGACAATGAACTGGAAGTTTCCACGACTCTTTTGGGCTCCCGTTTTCGCTCTATAATGACTGAACGTTCAAAAGCGGAAACTGTACCCTTGGTCGGCCCGCACGGTGAGGCGGACCTGAAGCATGGAGTTCGACCGCGTTGGCTGACAGACTCAGCTCGCAGGCCACATGGATCTTCCTTCCGGAATACTTATCACGCGGATTTCTGGTCGACCGTTCCACCAACTCTGCGCACTGACGGCTGGGGCTCTAAACAAGTATGCTTTTATTTTTTTTAATTAGGACCTTTCCTTTGGTGCATGTTTTGCGTTTTTATACTTTACTAGACACGGAGTAAAAAGAACGTCCTGAAGCCAAAATGCATACACTATTCATAATCATGTACTTGAATTGCAAAAAAATCTCTAGCCTTTTGGGATTCAAACCCACGCATGTGTACAACGCATGCTCCATTTTCGTCGTGGTTGAATAGCTCACCTGGTAAGTAATGTGCTGTACAAAATTATTAGCGGCGTCCATGCGTGAGGTCTAATCCCATCGAGGCAGTTGATTTAGCAAAATTCAAACGCAAGGCTGTTCCGTAGTCCGACAAGCAACACAAGTTGAACAAATAATTATCGTGTAATCCACAACGGTGACCGCCGATTGACTGTTTTTTCTTCACCTATTATAATTCGCGTCTTATGGCCCTTTATTCCGACCCCGCCTCTTATTTTTCAGCCTGGAACCTTATATCACTCAGATTTTCATTGAGAGACGTTTTACCTGCCCGAATGAAGGTTTTCCAATTATATTGTCCCAACAACAACGGTTATGCAATGTACATGACCAGATATCTCTGGTTCATGATCTTTGAGGATGTACCGTCAACTATTATCCATACAAGAGCTATGACCCATTAGAAGAACTTTCACAGGACAGTCAGTCTAAATTTAGTCGTGGTAAAGGTGGAGTTTGAGCACTTTAACTCGCTATCACTGGCGTGCTCCCTGCTTTGGGGTCCTGTATTCGGAATCTGACATCGCAATCCAGATTGTTCGCAGCCAGTCCCGCTCTCACCCGGCTTCGTACAAAGCCTATCCTTGTCTTGTATGGTTCACCACCCCAAACACCGGGGCCATTGGGTTTTCATCCCGGGGCAATAAGTCCTCTTGATTCTGGTTTTCACCTCCTCGACGGTCCATGATACGATAGTTTGCGATTGAAGAAAACCAAGAATTCATGTGGATCTCCGTATTCATGCCATAGAAATTCAGTCGATTGTAGAGCTGAGTAGGGCTAGCTTTTCAGACTCCTCGGGATCACTACTCTCTGTTCGATTGATACTAGGTTGTCGTGTTGGTAAAGCTTTATGAGTATGGTTTATTTTCAGTAGAGTTCTGTTATTGAAGAGTGATTGGAATAATCTCGAGAAAGTGTGCTTTTTATTTGCATTCCCACATCTCCCTGGGCACAGAACTGAGTCTACGTGTCCTTCTGATTGCTAAATCGATGCTCGTAGAAAGAAAATCGATTATGAATGATCATTAACCGCATTGGTGACTGTTCTCTCTTGTTTTTCTTTGCCCTTACCCATAGGCTACTGAACTGGTGCTCAACAATCTATTCTATCTCACACTACGCCTGGCTGAATGTCCAGCCTCATCGGATTGTCTGACGCAGCTGTGGACTACTCTGGTACGATATCGACCGACCAATTTGCGTGTGATCTTGCGCTATCTCATTGTGATCACGTCCATTGCACCGGCTACATTATTATTGCATGTGAGTTCCCTCGATACATGCTTGTTGCATAACCCATAGATAGTGCTCAACAGGTACTTCTCATATTTCACAATGAATTACTACCGCATTTGGATATTTAGCCTGTCGGGAAGTTTCACTGATGATTTTGGATGCTGGTTTAATTATGTCTTAAAGACCGTGATGGAGTCACCAAATTATCACCGCGGAGGACGTGTGTTCGAATCTCACCATCACCGCCTGACTTTCCCCATTGTGTATTATATGGCGGTCCTTTGATTGGCTGGTTGTCCCTTCTTGAAAATTGTATCACGATGTGTTCAATAAAAGGATGTAAAAAAAAGAAGAAAGATTGTCCATTCCCTTCGTAGTGTCTATTATCGTCATATTGGCTTAATCCTTCTCGAATGAAAGGTGCAGTTCAAAAAGCCAATTTATTATTCATATGTTTAATGTACAATTTGATGCGCTCTTTGTAATCCAAAAGAATAAATGATATCTACAACCCACAAACGATCTCACGTACGATCGAGTTCCCGCAGGATATGATACCAATACCATTTTCTGCTTGTGTTTTTGTTTATTCCATTCGAATTTAAAAATTCAGATCTGAAGCACTGTTTGAAATCCGTTTTGAGTTTGACCTTACTGATCAGGCACCGAAGACACTTATGAGTTCTGCCAAGCGTTTGTAATTAAATTCGTATTTATATTCAATGTTTTTTCCAGGGTGTGAGCGAAACGATCTGCGAAGCTGACGGTTCGCCCATCCGTAATTAACAGCGACCCCTTGCACACTGGGCGGAGCTAGTCAATACACAATTAAGCTGGCCACCAGCGTCAGCTTCTCACACAGCTATTTCGGCACACGTCCCAACAAACCCACCTTCTGAGGCGGAAAACCTTAAGGAGATCCAAGTCTTGGAAGGTCACAAAGCACCGGACTCCGATGGCCTTCCCCCAGCTCTATTTAAAGATGGTGGAATTAAGCTTGTGAAAGAACTACAATTTTCTGTTCTCTAAAGTTTGCAACACCGAGCAGGTCCCCTCCTTGTGGGTGAAATCGATTGTCTTTCCCATTTTCAAAAACGACCCGCTTAATCACTGCGCCAATCATAAAGGTATAAGCCTTATTTCAATAGCGTCAAAGCTGTTGGCATCCGTCATTCTCCGCCGACTATACACTATGCGTTATGAGCAGGCTGGGTTTCGCGCCGGTAGTTGATTCATCGACAGCTGCCAAAGTACCGTCATGCTTATCAAAGACTAACGATGATTGTATTCTTAGACATCCGCGCGGCCTTCAAGTATGTCGATGGGACTGCACTATGGAACTGTTTTTTGAGGAATGGAGGACCAGAGAGGTATGTGTCGATCCTCAAAGAGTTGTATCGTCAGACCTCAGGTCGGATTATGGCCTATGGCCAGCTTTCACCCCCTTCGCCGTCTCCAGTGGAGTACGGCAAGGCTACCCTGTATCCCCATTCTTTTTCAACTTTGTCATAGAGGATGTTCTACAGCATGCTTTGTCCGGTCAAGCAGACGGGGAAATCCAACCCCTTCCACGGAACAGAATTTTTGACTCAGAATATGCCGATGACATAGCGTTGCTGGGTGACTACACAGACAGTCCAAAACGCTCTGAACAGCTTGGCGCTCGAGGTATCCAGGTATGGTATGTGTTTTGCACCTTCCAAGTACAACGTCCTTGTTCAAGACTGGCGAGAGCTTGTGCCTCTACTCACCCTTTGTGGTGATCACCTAGAAGTAGTTGAGAGCTTTAGGCACCTCGAGGGCTTGATGGCAGCTGATGGGAGTGTTGGGGAGGAGATCACAACATGAGTAGCGAAAGCTACGGTAGCTTTCGCCAACCTGCGACATCTGTGGCGCCTCCATGATATCCGACTGTCCCTTAAAAGAAGGGCGTAGATCGCCGCGGTTCGTAGTGTTCTGCTTTACGGTTGCGAGACCTAGCTCCTCCAAGCGGTGGATGCTAATCGACTTTCCATATTCGATCACGGATTCATTCGAAGCATTTCTCGTGTCTGGTGGGAACATCGGGTGAGTAATGACGAGGTTCGTCGTCGTGTGTTGGGTTCGAATAGTCGTTCTCTAACGGAAGAAATCGTTCTACACCGCCTCCGATGGCTTGATCACCTATTGCATATGCCTGCCCATCGTCTACCTTTCCGGGCTCTTTTGGCACGTGCCGGGCAAGGTTGGAAGAAGCTTCGCGGGGGTCAGACCTAGACATGGTTTAGAGGCATTTAGAGGCTTCAACTTTGGCTTCGGATCGCACAACCCATCCCCGAGGTTGGGGTCCAAGTGATGAGGATTTTCGTTGGTTAGAGACACTGATAGATATGACCCAGAATGGAAGTCAGTGGTGCCAATGCTGTACGCTCTGCCTGTTGAAATCCCATGCCTCGTAAAAAAAACAGNAAAGGTGTACGGGGGAACCAAAAAAAAATTATCCCAGTTGCTTACCATTTTCTATTTTACCTGTTCTATCTTCCCACTTTTCTCTGTATTCCAACCCATATGCCCCATGTTATTGTCGTTATTTTTGTGGCGTTAGCACCATGCTTGTCTACTAGACTGTGTACTTATGTATATATGCGTATATAGACCAAAATAATCATTTAATCTAAGGGCGGGGCGGGTAGGTCGTTAGCAGATCCGATTGAGTTTGTGTCTCTTATCACGTGTGCACGTACTTGGAGCAATATGGTTAAACGAAAAACAATAAATAGTCGGGGTTTCGAGTTAGGAATGTGGCTGGCAGAAGCTGATATTCGGTGACGAACAGACATGCTTTTAGGGTGAGTGAGTTTCGTGCAAATTCTCGGCGAAGTTTATTCTGGTTCTCGGAATAAGCATGTGTACGTAAGTCTGAGATATCCTCTTAATACAACCGGAGCCACTCGCTTTTAGTTCAGTCATTTTTGTTTCTTTTGATATTTTTCGAACCTTTCCCACTTGTTAGTCGATACAACACCCCACCCTGTAAGGCTTACTTAATAGCTACCGTGAGTAAGCACTCCATTTCTGCGTGCGTACTGTACTAACTACTAACTCAAATATGGTGACATTCATACAGTTTCCGGATGACAAAGTGATTGATGCGTCAAACTAAGATCACTACCATCCGTTCTGTTTTCTCTGTTTACCTATTCCTCTCTCTCTGTCTTGCAAATTAGGCCAAACGATTGGTCACATACTTGGCTTGTGAGCATCCAGAATCTGTTCTGGAGGAACTGGTCTTTGAAATGCAAGTAAGTGAATTTACCCATTTATCCTGTCTTCCAGTAGACAGTTTCTTCAAATGTGCTATTGCTGAGTTGCTACATATTTGTCTGACTCACTTTGGCTTACTGGTGGTTTGTCTCAACTTTCAAAATGTTCAATCATTCTGGCCCTCACCTCAATTCTCAGAATGAAATTCATTCTATATAACCTAAAGAATGTATGACCTGAAGAATTAGAAAACCCTGTGAAGCTGTTTCACCCGCGTTGGAAACCTTAACCAGTCCGAATCGACCGATCCAACTGAAAACCAAACCCGAGACTTCATAGGTAGAACTGAAACTTTGATACCCGCTTGGCCTTTTGACCTTCTGCGATCACGCTGGTGTTCAGGGCCTTGAGTCTCGCAAATGATTCTCATGGAGATAACAAGATCTGACGATTGGTACAAAAGAAACCATTGATAGTGCACGTCTAATGATTCCACTATCGGTTGTGCCCAGGATCAAATACAGGATGCATANGGATCAAATACAGGATGCATATATACTGTACCAACTTCCGGTTGTTCAGTGACTCGGAGATGCTAATCCCAAATAGCAACAAAAACAGCAGCGGTGGCCATGGTAATGATACTTAGGGTAATTCTACCTATTTGATGTACCGCATGTGTTCAATCCGGACACAAGGACTGTAGCCCATCAAATGTTACGTATCCACATGTGAGAATATAGGAAGATGGTGCGAGTGTGCAAACATGCGAATGGCAGACAGTGGGCTAGTGGCCCATATAGCATTCGATCATTGTCGTGGCAAATCCGCTACCTCGAATCGACCGACAATCTCAGTCTTATTATTTAAGGCAAGCGCAGAAAATCAAACTACAAGGACTTCTGTTATATTTTCTGGCAATCGATGGTCGTATTTGACACATTTATATCAAAACGCCAACTCCAACCGGATGCGATCTTTGTGCGAATTCTTGAGAGAGAATTTCGTCCGTCCTATTTCAGACAGTCCAATTCGATTTTCTCGACATGCGTTCCTCGACCTCGTTGATTAATCAATTTCGATTGAATGGTGCTAACTACCTTCACTCACATTCCTCAGCTCTTTCAGTCAATCATGCACTCGGAAGCACTAGACTCGAGGTTCGCTGTTATTAGAGCTCGCGGTGCATATCTACCGTCCCGTCTGGGATTTGAATTCCGGAACCATCGCATAGAATACGTGTGTTGCCACTGTGCCAATCAGCTCATGCCAAGGCTGAACAGAATTGCCAATTTATGTTTGTTCTGATGTAGTCTTCAGATACAGTCAGTCAGTTCAGTTTGGCTCGATAGCAACGAAGGGAGACACAGTTAAATATCTGTTAACTCTGATCAAAAGCCTCCCACCAAATCATGTCTTCCATGCAGTTTACGGGTTAAGCGGCCTCAAACCTACTAGACTGGAGTATTAATTCTCATTGAACTCACAGTTTCTCGTGAGTAGTGGTGTGGGATAACTGTTTCTGATTGATTAGAACTGACCATGGTTTAAACGGAGGCTTTCGATTAGAGTTAGCATGTATTGTGAATACTTAGCCTAATAGGTCAGGTCTATCTCATGGCTATTGATTCAAACCGTGCCACGTCTACTCATAGTTAGGGGTAGAAATATTCCCGAAACAATACCACCAGAGAATCTCATGGAGTCTGATTGGCCTCACAATTCCGGATTCCACTCAAATCTTAGGCTGTTGATTTTCAGCACGTAACAGATCTTTTGACTGCTTAGCCCACCCATTTTAAAATAAAATTCAAGCTCAGTTTCAGTCCTGGCTTTTAGTGTATAGCTTCACACGTTTAATATAACTTCTCCGCTAGAAAGATTGATCACTTCGTCTCACTTGCTGTTGTTACTTATTTTACAGACTATCGATGGAATCGGTCTGACCGTGGAGCGCACAGCCAAACTCCCGTTCTTTCGTATTACAACAAATGCATCACGCGCTCGTGATATGATGGAATCGACTACAGAGACAGTTGCCGCCACAGTGAATAGGTCAGCCTCACCCGGTCCAACTACTGATCATCTTACGAATCAACTTCCTGCCGGATCGGACCAATCTACTAAATCCATCCAAGCCGTGTTAAAGGCCGTTCAACGTGAATCTACCCATTCGGTGGACCCGGAACTAGTGGCTATCGATCTGGCAGTCTCGGAGAATATTGGTGCTTTGAAGCCGGAAAGGAAATTCGGTCGGAATCGAGGAAGCGCATTGCCGTTCTTTCATAATAAACGTCATACTACAGAGGAAACCGGTGATGGATCTGGGTGAGTATTGTCCCTCGTTGATAATTTGGCCAGTTACGTCATAGTTCCATTTTCTAGGTTATTATTTATTATTATCTATTCAACACGCACTGTATTGTTACACTTTTCGTCCTGAAATCACTCAAATAACTTCCATGTGTGTACCTTGTCTGCGGTTGACTCGTCTACTCAGTCGATTGATCAAACGTCGTCCCAAATCTGCTACAAGTCATCCATCTCCACGATCATCGTCCGCGACCGCCCAACACAACAAGTTGCCGGAAACAGCGTTACTGTCGACCGAAACAAATGCAGTATCAATCGACCAACGAGCCGCGAGTACTGATTCTAATGCGGACCGAACACGTGCTGGGTCGGTTCCAAATCAACTGACTTCCTCAGTTCCCCCATCGAGATTACCAACAGTGTTACCACCGCTTACTCCGGATACCGATGGGGATGTTGAACTGGACGTGGATGCACCATATGTCATTTCAAATGAAGGCCTTGGCGGTGGTGAGCACTTTATTTCTTTACCAATTGTTTTCTTGTGCTTTGTAGATGTGTTAGGGACAAACTGTAAGGATGTACGCTTCAGTTCAATCCGCAGCTCGGAAGTCAGTTCGGCTTCATAATAAATGTCTTCGAGAACACCTAGTTTTCCGTCACAAACTTATATAGATGAGGCTAAAAAGTCACCTTAGTCGCAGTATACATGTGCACAGTAACTGTGAATTGATCATGGAAACAACTGTGTTTATCTAGCTTGTACCAGTTTCAGTTTCAGTTTTACAACCATTAACCATGCATTTTCGTGCGCCGGTTTTGGTTGCTGTCTTTTGGTTGCCCATTTGGATAGAAGCGAAAAGAAGATTGAAAGGTCGAAGCAGATTCAAGCGGAAGATGGGGAATACATATAGAGTGGTGTTAGGA